TGATGAAACAATTTGGAATTGTGCAGCCTAAAAAAAACTAGACTAGTTGAAAGTATCATATATGGCAGTTGAATTGAAAAATTTGGTAATCCATGATGTACTGATCTAAAAAAATTGCATTGAGTATTAGTGGCGTTTTTTTTCTACAGTAAAAGTCTTAACTATAGTTAGAAGATGGGGTGAAACTTCTGAAGAAGTGAAGAATCGGATGTTTGCGACAATGGACTTTTTATTTGGAGAATTAAAGTAAGTTTGAATTGTTAATGGTCTTTTAAATGAAGTTAGAGTACTAAAACTTGAGGGATTATAATTGGTTTTGGCAGTTACTTCCTTCATTTTTTAGTTATGTATTTAGATGTTACCTAAAAGATTTTCAGTTTTATTTTTTTACCCTTTTTTTTTTATTTTTTTATTTTTTTGTTTTTTTGCAACAGCAGCATTTGGAATGCCATCTGGAGTATAGATTTTTTATTTTTTGTTAAAAATCGCTGAGTCAGCAGTTTAGTATTTGTTCTTTACTGCTGCACGTTTAGGTTCATGGATCATCCAAATATAGCGCCATGTAACTGTACGTTAAAACTAATAAATTTATTAGGAACACTTTGTGTAGGTTGTTGAACTTATATAATTACGCTGTTTTTTCATTGTTATCACCTCTTCCGAAGTTGTTACAAGGCTACTCAACTAGTTTTTTCTAATTAGTTTATGGACATTCGAGTTTGAAATTGTAGTCGAACGTTAATTTTTGCCTAGTTGTTTCTTTGTTTACTGGTTTAGGTCTAAAAGTGACACAGATTGAACGCTTAGTTCCTTGCAATTCATGGAGACCTCAATGACAGTTCCACTGCATAGGTTTTTGCCGTTAAGAGACTCTACAACATACCTAGTAACTGAAAACGGCATGCAGAAAGACAATTGTACAGATGGAATACAGTGGATTGAACGGGTTAGTATACGTATTCGTTGTAAGTTATTAATAGATTTCTGGGAACTTTTACAGAGGTAAAGGCTGACGCAAGTTGCGAGGCCAGTGAGCTTTTTCTTTGATTGGCTGCGCGCTGTTAGTGGGTTGTACAACCCACTTCTCGCTCTTTTTTGGTCATTACTTTGAAGCTGTATCAGAATTATGCAGAATTATAAGGATAACTGTTGCGTATAAAGTAATAGCAAGATTTTTTTTAGTTTTTTTTACCAGGAGCTTAAAAATTGCTTTTGGGTTAATTAAAATCTTGGTAAAACAGACTGTCTATGGACATGAAGTAGCTAGAATGAATAGTGGGAAGAAAAAGGAAGTAGGAGTAAAGTGTAACACAACAAGGTATAATAAAAATCTGGGAATTTTCTTTTGTATTTTGAAGTGTTGAGAGCAAATCTTTTTTGATGTTCTTCTGTAGTTGAAATCAAAAAATTGTTTTTGAATATTCCCTTTGTATTTTTTTCTACTGTTATTTGTTTTAGGTTTTTTCTGACTGTGTTGATACGAACGTCAAGTTAGTAGGTTTCATCGTTGGTTTCATATCATTGCTTTTGTGGTTGTTGCCATTAATTCCCCAGTTAATTCAGCATTTTCGTACCAAGCGCTGCGAGGGACTATCAATATTTTTTCTCCTGTTTTGGTAGGTTATGAATTCAAGAGAAATTAAAATCACCGTCTTTTTTACAGTAATTTGCTGTGAGTTGGAGGTTGTTGTATTAATTGAGGAGTACTTGTCTCCAGATAGAGTTGTTACCACTGTATTAAGTTCTTTTTGAGGCTAACCATTACAGTTGAATATTACTGCTGTTTAAATATCAGTAGCTATAGGCTTCCACTTTCTTTGTAAACCCAATTTGGTTTTTGTGTAAACTTTGTCTTCAGGATTGTCGGGGATTCGTGTAATATGGCAGGGGCTATTTTGACCAATCAGCAGGCAATGCAGAAAATTATTGGATGTTATTATATATTTCAGGCACGTTTTTAAATATATATTTTTGTTTTTGATCCGCAATAGGTTTACACAGTTGAAACAACATTTGAACACGGAAGTTTTTCAGGACTCTATTCTGCTAAGCCAGTTTTTTTACTACAACAAAATATATCCTTCTATTAGTAAACGACGTAAGTTTTCTTACTCTAATTTTATTACGATCAAATGGTTTGTCTTTGTAGAGTACTAAATCTTTAGCTCGAAGTAGCGCTATGACTAGTTCTACGCTGGTTGTCCCAGTTATGCTTCTCGGTTTTTTTGCTGGTAGCATGGTTTATTCTGCAACTCTTGTACCCGATACACTGAGCTATGGTGTACAGACGCCAGTGTCAGCGGGAAGGCGGTTGTTACAAATAACGGAGAGGGTAAAGACACCTCCATTTTTCAATGGATATTTCGACATGGTATGTTTAATGCTACCTTTTTAAAGAGTCTTTTTATTATTAAACAGTTCTTTTATTGTAGTTGGGTTATGTTTTTGGCTCAATTTCCGCGCTTTGTTACTTTCTTGGCCGCATACCTCAACTGATCAGGAATTATAATCGGAAGAGTTGTGAAGGTTTGCTTTGATTTGAAGCGCTTTATCTTTCAAATAAAAAAAATTTAGGATTTTGTATCTGAACAGAAAAGTTTGAGAGTGCCTTGGTCATGGTGAAAAAGAACGTGGTTAGACAGCTTTTTAGGAACCATATTTCTTTACCTACACATTTCTTGAATTAAAAGTTGTGTCTTGGTTAAAATTGGAGATTTTAAGGTTTTTCGAGTATAGAGAACCATAATTCATTAGTATTTTTGTTGGTCGTTACGTTAGGTGAACTGATAGTTAGCCACGAAAATGTACTCCTTGTTTTATTTAGTGCATCTAATGGAGCTTAATGTGGGAGATTTCTGACAAGAAATTAATAGCGCATTATTTTAAAATTTCAGTTGTCAATTCTCACACTTGTGACATAGTTATACTTTTTAAGGGCTCTCCTTATTGATGTTTTATATCATCATCAGCGCAAACTTCACCTATGGTGTCTCGGTACGTTTTAATTTAGTAGATGTACGGCTCATATTTTTCTTTTTCCCTCTGTAATTACAATTTTTATTAGGTTTTGCTCGAGGCTTCCGGATGGCACTATATTTTGCGCCACTTACCCTGGTTGGCTGGCAGTTTAGGATGTTGTTTATGTGATATTGCTATGGTTTCCCAGTACTATCATTATGAAAAACTAAACCGTACTGCATTTGATCCAGAAACTGATGCGCTTTTAACTGATGATAATGATTAATGGCAGTTTAGATCGACTGTTGAAGTAATTTGTATTTTAATTTACTTTCCCCAGCCTCTTTTTATTGTGGTACTAACCAATACAAAGGCTAATGGAATTGGCCAGAACTAACATATGTTGTTAATATGTTTCTTGTCTGTATATTAGTAGTAGGACTAGACTCTTCATGTTATTTCTAACTGGCTCTTTTCTGTGAAGATTTGATAGTCGCTTTTTAAATGCATAGCTAATAGAAATTTCAAATTTTTAATACTAATTATAACAGTAATGTTCAATGTTGTATGTAGATTACCTTTGCTGAATTACTTATGAGCACTAGTTTTTTCATCAAAGATTTTCTTTTTATCACATCAGTTTGACATGCTTCTTCACCTCACTTGGCGCAGTTTCAGACTTACAGTTTATTTTGGAATTTCGTTTATAATTTTTTAACTTGTAGTCTCTTTTGCGGCATAACGTGGTTCACTTGAACATTTTTTGCACATTACAGCTTCATAATTGTTACAGTTCAGAAATTGCTATATTTCTTTGTTACAATTTTTTCTTCCAGTATAATCTGTTATCCTTCTTATTCCTTGCGAATATTTCACTTTGCAGTGTGATTTACAATAATATATTGTAAAGGATCTCATGCGCGCAGTCATTTGATATTATTTACGTGGTTCTCTTGTTATTTTTTAGAGCTTGCTGGGTTCCTTTAGGTGTAGAGTAAATTATGCTAATTGAACTACGATAAGCTAGAATATATTGCTTTGAACGCTTGCTTGGGTCATGTCAATTGATCGGTTTTTATTGTAAGTAATAATAACGCTGTAGTTGCGGGTTCATTTGGCAGTTCAGTCATATGTCCCTATATAATTAATTGTGATGATGCTGTTTCATACTGCTTAAACTGATTTTCAACTTTCTTATGTTTGATAAAGTATAGTTTATATATTTGTGGCATTAAAATTCCAAGAACGGAAGCTTATGTTCGATAAAGTGTAGTTTATATATTTGTGGCATGAAAATTCCAAGAACGGAAGCCAAGCTAAAACGGATTACTTTGGGAGTATACTGCGGTTCAAAAATTGAAGTTGGGATTTTGATGGCTGAGGTGTTTAAAATGAAGCAGCAACTCATAAGCTTTG